TGTTTTTTGAACCTTAAACCGCATAAACACATTTCATTACACCAAATACACAAAATAATGTTCTTTTTAGCAACATCATATGACCCCTTTAATTTTGTCAGATGCTCTGCAATGAATCCTCCTTTAATGTTTCTTATGGGCCAATGAGGGTCTTTTGAGGCTTTTTTGTTCACGCTGAAGAAAATTTAAAATAATAAAAAAATAGTCCGGCCAATCCGAGGCCCTTGCACACATGGGGCCCCTAGGCTGCAGCCTAGGCAAGCCTGTGTGTTAATCCGCGCCTGTGTGTAAGTTTGGTTGAGTGATGTTAAATAGTATTTTTCACTTGAACATAATCAGTTCATTTAGATGTTTCCATGTTTAGGTCACCATTTTGTTCACTGTGAAACGTGAACAAAACAAATGTGAAAACATTTGTTCACAAATGGCCATTTCCACACTGGCTAAACTGTACATGCTAAACGCACACAGCAACAGGTCTGTGCATATAGTAGTGATTTCACTAAACCAAAGCAGACTGGTCCCCTGTTAGATGGTGAAGTGCGATGCCTGTTTGGTTGACTTTACATTTAACAATTTTTCACATTCTCACTATCTCTGAATGCAATGGCAATGTTGATAATACAATGTTACAATATATGTTGATTGTAACATTATGCCGCAAGCCCGCCGGCCGTTCCTCACTCTAGCCCACCTCCGCTCACTCAGGCCCGCCAGCCTCCGCTCACTCTAGCCTGCCGTGTGTGACGCTGTGTGTTTTGTTATGAAAGCGAAACTACTTTGTTTGGCCTTCCAAAAGAGGACACGACTAGAAATCAGTGGGCATTTCAGAAAGGTGGGGCATAGAGGAGAAACAATAATATACAGTATGTGGAAAATAATGTTTTTTTAACCTTAAACCGCATAAACACATTTCATAACACCAAATACACAAAATAATGTTCTTTTTAGCAACATCATATGACCCCTTTAATTTTGTCAGATGCTCTGCAATGAATCCTCCTTTAATGTTTCTTATGGGCCAATGAGGGTCTTTTGAGGCTTTTTTGTTCACGCTGAAGAAAATTTAAAATAATAAAAAAATAGTCCGGCCAATCCGAGGCCCCTGCACGCGTGGGGCCCCTAGGCTGCAGCCTAGCCAAGCCTGTGCGTTAATCCGCGCCTGCTCGTGTGGGTAAACGTTTGACCCAGACATGACTGAAGTTCACCTGGTAAAAGCATTTTATCACTGTTACTAACAATAAAAGCCAGAAGAAATGATATTTTTCAACTGCTGGTATGTTAGCCAACTTTGCAGTTTGTAGATAAGTATTAGGCTACCTTAAAGAATAAAGTTTAGAATAGCTGGTCAACTAAAAAATGCATTCCCAACTATTTTACTTCATAATGTGACATATTTCTGGCTGTAACAGGATATCGAATGGTGGAAAGTGGCTCTGTATGATAGAAAGTTGAAAAATAAGAGGAATTAATTATGCTTGCTGAAATGTAAAGCAGGGATTAACGTTTTCTGTCGCTACGACGGATTTCCGTCAGTTCAAAGACAGTCACTTGCTTCATTCCTGAAGCAAGTGCTCCTAAATTAAAAAATGTAGGAGCACCTTCTGATCAATAATCAAAAATTCTGATCAAAAATTAGCCTTCCTAATACGAGGTGACATTTGACTCCTTAAAGTGACTTACAGGAGTACTTTCTTTTTACCTCTATAATGGCATCATTTTCATCTGTCAAATTCAAAAATGTATGTTTATAAGCTTTTTAAAATTTCTATTTAATACAATATAATACATAGAATAAGACAAACAAGTCACCAATCATCTGAAATTAGTATTAATAAATTAATTTATACTACAGAGGTGGCACAGAAGAACACAAAAGTAGCTTGTAGGTACATTTCCAGACATTTAATGAGGCTCAGAGGTGGCATGAGTGCAATAAAATTAATAAATTAATGTAGAAATTAATGTTTTAAATATTACATTTTGAATACAGAAATATAAAATGATTTAAAATAACTGAAATTATAAGCTAAAAATGAAACTAAATCCACCAGGAGGTGGCGGCAAGTAACTGATTTGATCACTGAATCATTCATTCAGTTGATTCGTTCGAACGGCTGAATCATTCAGGAATGAAGCAAGTGACTGTCTTTATGAACTGACGGAACACTTTAATCCCTGTGTAAAGTCATTACTACATTTTCATCCAATATTAAAACCATCATTCACTGATGAATCGTTCACAGCAAGCGTTCGAACCAACTCAATTTTGATTTCATGTTGACTTTAAGGCTTTGGGATCCAGCATTGGTATCATTTACATGCAGCACTTCACTAACATTGAATGTGAATAATTAGGTTTGGAAGCCAGAGGATCAGATGTTTGACATGAGTCACAATGTTCAGCCAGTATAATAAAACTGACAGACTAGTCTACTGGTACACTCAATCCTTCTAGAATCCACCTCTGTTCAGGCTACAACTCCATGTTACAAACCTTATTCGCTCTGTCTGGGAGATATTCCCTTCACGTATAATTGGAGTGGGTTAGAGGAGAGCTGAAGCGCTGGGTCTTTATGTTTGATATCCACACTCCACTTACAGCTCAAAATATTCACTCCATAAGAGCTTGTGCAATGTGTCTAAATACATGTTGTGTTGTTCTTTATAGCATTTAAATTAGATCTTTCTCAAAACTTCTGCAAACAACGATTTAGCCCAAAATATTCAAGCTGAAATTTCATCTCAAACTCTTATTTTCCAGCCCAACTGAAACAAGAATCTACTACATTAATCAACCACTTAATCTGAAATGATTTTGGGGCATGTAAATACACTGTTTGAGGGCATTGTAGACAATAAGATAACAGGTTTTTTTCAATGGCCTCTTTTCCAGGGTGCAGGTGGCCAATCTGTTCACAAACCAGATGTTTTCTGGTAGCCAAGTGAAGATTTCAGCAACAACAACTCAGTCTACCAAGACTAAACACAACTAGACTGTTTGCATTACAATCAATGAAACTGTCTAGAATTAAAACACGAAGTGCTGTAATGCCGCATGTTCAGTTGATGGACCGTTCCCATGCCTGTCACATTTTAAAGTGGCTTGACTTTATTTTCACTCTTTGTCTAATATAACATGATTTTGTTTACAAATATTTTGTGCAAATTGATTACAGTGAATTTTATTCAGTATATACTTGAATAACTTGACCGTTGCATCAAAAGCAGCTTAGACAGCTGGATGTTAAAATATGTTCTCAAAACTCACAACACTCATAAACAAAGATGTGATGTGGCATGTTTATTTGTGGGCAGGTTATGTCATCGTTTGGTTCTGAAATCAGTGGAAATTTTGGTTAGATGTATTAGTTAGATGTAGAGAACCAGCACCATTTCTGTAAAAAAATGAAGAGTAAATTTAGAGTAAAGGTGAAATAAATTGATAATGTCCAACATCAGTTTCAATATAGCTGAAGTCATGGAAACATGGTCAAACACTGCATACATAATGACCAATAGGTGGCGCTGTCTGGTGGCCTTGCCAGGAAGCAGTGCTCTACCATTTGTAATATTAAAAGGGACAGTTCATATCAAAAATTAAAATTCTGTCATCATTTACTCACCTTTACGTTGTTCATTTCATTCTTCTGTGGAACACAAAGAGATGTTTAGCAGAATGTTATAGCACCTCACAATGAAAGTGAATGGAAACAATAAAATACCTTTTTTTTTTTTTTAATCTGACTGGAGTGACAATAGAAACACATGTATTCCTATTAGTTTTTTAGCAATAATCTGGCAGAAGTGACAATCTCAGGGGTACAATTTAACATGCCATTTCATTAAGTGAAAAGCTTCAGGCAGTGGTTACCTTGTGGGTTACTCGAGTTAAAAACCCATCTGTATATCTGGAAAACTGGCACAGCTGCTGTTCAGGTGGGCTGCTGGGGTTTCGGGTCAGAACATGGGGGCATTCCAAAGAAAACTCGCTGACAATGTTGCTCGCCAGCTCGAAATCCTACGGCTCTCAGTAGCTATCCCAAATTAAGCTTCCGGGAGCTGCAGCACTCCGGCAGGGACTCTAATTTTTTCCACTTATGCTGGAATGTGGCCTTCCAAGTGCCCAAGTCTCTCAACACCAACTATTTGCTGTTTGTTTTGACCGTTTTCCCTGCGGGGAGGGCGAGCAGAGGAGGAAAAAGGTTTAGAGAAAGCAGTGGAAACACTCGCCGACTGCCAAGACTGCATCCATTTTCTTCTGAAACTATTCAAAATGATGCAATGGGACTGTTATTGGGTTTCACCGACAGGAAAACCACAGGTACATACACACACACACACAGGCTCATGGGCGAGACACACCATGATAGACATCCAGAGCCTCCGAAGGGTTTCTTACCAGACAGTTTCAATGCCACCATCTGAAGTCATACTCCAATTATGGAGCGCCGGGATGCAAAATATACGGAACACTTCATGAAACCTCTCTGTGCATAACCTGAATTTAACAAAACCCCATTCACTGTCCACTGTCTAGTGGAGCTTGTAAAATACCATTTTTTTTTGTGGTGGGACAGACGCTCTCTGATGTCTCGTCTATGTTGAGTGTCTGACAAGTCTACTAAGAGGTGCCCGACTGGAGGAAGTCATTATGAGGTCACCCCCGGTCCTCACAAGCACTTATGATGTCATCTCGCAGACTGGAGGTTTTTCCTTGGATTGAGTCTTGTGCCATTTTGGGGTTTGGAATGCGTGTCGCATGTCTGGACGAGCATTAATGGGGGCACCGTGCGCCATCACGGCAATCGTTACGCCCCAGAATTCTCAAGCCTCATGCAAGCCTGTCAATCAAGACGCTTTACGGCCTCCTTGGTTGTACTTGTATTGCAAATTTTGAAAATCCCTTTGCAGTTATTAAACATAATTTTATGTTTCCTCCGTGTGCACAATTATATAAATGACCCGCAGGAAAAAAGCATGGACATGGACAGCTGCAATCAATTATTACGTTTCCATGACTACTGACGGTGTTAATTGATAAATGTGGTATCGTCAACAGGCCCTTGAGTTTTTATGGAGAAAACTTCAAGAGTGGAAACAAGATACAATGGAGAAATGTGTCTTATGTGGCATCCCCACCGCCACTTCATTAGCTTCAAAGAGCCCAAAACAATGTTGGACCCCACTGATTTGTATTGTATGGACAATTTTTTTTTGTGGTTAAAAATCGTTCTAAATGTAAGATACAAAGATACATATATGTACCATTTTAAGTAGTAATATGTACACTTAAGGTACTAATATGTACCTTTGAGGTACTCGCACCCTTTAGGGGTAAATAATGTATAAAGGTGAACCTTTTGAAAGGGTACTGCTCCAGTGACAGGATACCTTTTGTGTGGAATCACTTTCAGAAAGATTTTTTATTTCCAGCAAATAAACAATAAAAATATTAACAGCCATTCAGAATCTCAGAGCTCACGCATTTAAAGTGTCATATGACAGAATTGCAGCACATGCTTATAATAACCTTATCGTGTGTTGGTGGGGACCCTAGTTATTGTTCTTGGCGTGAACGAACAATAATGACCGCGAATCAAAATTGCTCCTACTTTTAAAGGGATAGTTCACCCAAAAAAATGAAAATTCTGTCATATGTACTCACCCTCCGTTTGTTACAAACCGGTATACGTTTTTATTTTCTTCTGCTGAACATAAAAGAAGATATTTTGAAGAAAGGTTGATAACCAAACAGTTGACCGCAGCCATTGACTTTCATAGTACATTTTCCATACTATTGAAGTCAATGGCCTCCAACTGTTCAGTTACCAACATTCTTCAAAATATCTTGTATTATGCTCAACAGAAGAAAGACGCTCATACTGGTTTGGAACAGCTTGAGAGTTAGTAAATGATGACAGAATTGTCACTTTTGGGTTAACTATCCCATTAAAGCTTGTGCTGCAGTGTTCAAAGAACAGCTGTTGACGGTAATATGATTATTATTAGTGTGAATGGACCTTAAAGGGATAGTTCACCCAAAAATGAAAATTTGATGTTTATCTGCTTACCCCCAGGGCATCCAAGATGTAGGTGACTTTGTTTCTTCAGTAGAACACAAATTATGATTTTTAAGTCCAGCCGTCACCTGCGGGCTTTCACATTGAGCAGCATTAACTACACCGAGTGTAGTTAATGCTGATGGTGATGGAGATTTACCGCTGATTACAGAACCGGCTTTCTGACAAGATGCGCATTAAATATCGCATGCGATTTATCGTGCAGCCCTAGCACGTACACACCTCACGCACCGGATGCTGTGCGCGCGCTCAAGGAAGTTTGGACATAGTGGTGTATTAGAGGTAAAAAATGATATAAATACTGTTCGGTTTCTGGCACAAACCGATCGTTTCGTGTCTTAGGACATCAATGTGTCGTCACGAGCCGCAGGGTTTAATTTGGATTTGTCTGTGCATGTTTTTTTACTCTCATAGATTTTGTTACCATTGCCATGCATTATACAACTGATAGACTGCAACGGCTGGACTTAAAAATCATAATTTGTGTTCTACTGAAGAAACAAAGTCACCTACATCTTGGATGCCCTGGGGGTAAGCATATAAACATCAAAATTTCATTTTAGGGTGAACTATCCCTTTAAAGCTTTTATATGACATTTAAATTATTGTTGCTTATTCCGGCTGAATGTGAACTTACTTATCCATTCTGTGGATTAGTCAAGTTTTGGCTTGTTGGCCTGGTTCAGTTATGCCCTGATGATAGATGTCGTAACTACACCATCTTATAGGGCAAATGGCATCTTTCTTCACCGACAGTCGTGAAGCAGCTGGTATTCTCACAAAAGACTTCCTTCTCTACAATTCATCAGACAGTTTTCCACAATTTGCAAAAAGTCAGCCATGCTTCCTGTTTAGCAACATTAAATATAATCGCCAAGATAGGCATATTTCTCGTTTATCAGGCTTCTGTCTCTTTCCATGAGCACAGGAGTCACGCTCCACTGAATTACTGCTACCGCATTCATGTTTTTGTAGAGTTGAGGGAAAACCACTGGAGCGCTGACAATGACTATTTCTGAAGCTATTTTTAGATAACTGACATCCCCAAAACAGAATGTGCCTGGCGTACTGGACTCTAATCATTTAAATAACAGAATAACATCCAGACAAATGGGCCGCCTTCCAGGACAAGCCGCGCGCGCTGCCCTCCACTGGCTTGGCACGGTGAACGACGTCAACTCTGGCTGAACTGATCGCCTGACAAACTCAGCACTGACTGGTCATCTGGTTGGCAATCTGTCAGTGACCATAAAATTAATGCTGAATCAGCGCGAAAAAAAAAATCCTTTCCTGGGTAAGAATGTGTGGTATGATAAAATACCACAGCCGTTCATTGCGTCTGTCTCATGACAAATGATCGAGTGACTCGGGAATCAAACTAATTATTTGTGTTTCTCATTATGTATCTTGTATTATAAAGATTTCCTAATTTAGAATATTATTAAAATTGTGTATGTGAACGTAAACAGGGATTGAAAATATAACATTTTAGCTTTAACAAGATGAGTCGTTCAAGATTCGAGGTTTGAATTGAATGAATTTACTTCATTTAAACGTGAGAGTGACGAGAAGAAATATGAAGACTGTGATGACGCGGTTAACGATCATCAGCATCGTAAATCCTCGAAAGTTTTTCATATTTGTCAAAAAAAAAATGTATGTACATTTATAATACTATTCTTTGTATTATATCACCGTTGCATCAAATTACAAAAAAACAGTTAAGGCTAATGCGAGGGTGTTTCTCGTACAGGGTCTATGGGAGGGATGGTAAATTTGACATGGTTCTCTCTTCTGACTGCCGTTATCAGTCTCTCTCAATTTTTTTCCTTTTATTGAAAGTCATGAAAACACTATCGTGGAGTTTTTCTTTTGCCATTTGAGCAAATGGGAATGCAAAAAATATGTTTGTGGTACTCTCCCATTCACTGCTCTTCAAGTTAACCCAACTATGACGACTTCCGCTGCTGAGAAACCCGGAAATGTGAAAAAAGTCCACAAGAGAGCGGAACGTCACGTGACAAAGGAGATGAGGAAAGGGTTAAACAGCATATTTAATGCTTATCAACGTTGCGTCAATCAATATAAAATTCACGCAATGTCCGGTAATTCACTGGCTTCAACTATTTTGCTACATTTTTGCATAAAATGTGTCTCAGTCAGTATTTTGCATATCGCAACTATTCTTACATTCAGTTTTCGGTATTTTCTTTTCAAATCACCCTTGCACCAATTCCTTTAAGAATTCCCTAAAAACATGTTAAACCAGCCTAAACTGGTCTCTGTTGGCTGGTTTTAGAAGGGGTTTGGGCATCTTGTCAAACTTGCAGACCAGCTTAAACCTTCCAAGAGCATCTTAGTTTTCAGCAGTCAGTTTTTGGTTTGTAAACCATTTAAATATCAGAATTAAAAAAAAAACGTGGTGATTAAATATAAACCACTTTATACTAAATTTCCAGCAAAAATAACTATGAAAATAACACTATGAAACACACCATTACTGTCATATAAAAACTACACAGTAACACTGGAGAATGGAGGGATTTCAATATAAATACCTCATAAAATATTACAGAACTTTTCATGCTTGGCAAGCAATTGTGTGGTGTAATCTGAGATAATATTATTTGATCTACACTGGTCTACAAACACTTCATCCCTGGAGATACTGGCAAATTAACAAAGGACTGCAATCTTCACACGGAGAGGCTCACAGCCTTGAGACCGATGTCTGGAGTTGAGAGAAGGACCCGCAGGTGGACGGCCTCCACGAAATATGATCTATAACACACAATGCCATCTGATCAGCGGCGTCTGGGCCTCTCGGCGTAGGAAACGAAACCAATTCCCAGACCCTCGCTGCATATAATTCAGGAGTCTTGAAAATCACCCTCGCTGACCTGTGGCGAGAGACCAGAAGAGAAAGAGAAAACAAACTCTCACACTCTTCAAGAAACACCATGTTTAATTAAAAGTCTCTGGTCTCTGAATTACAACTGGTAAAGGTTTCACAACTGAACAGGTAGAGGTAAAAAAAAAATAAAAATTGACACGTTGAGGCTGGTAGGAGTTGACGGTAGTGCCATTTTTGGATGAAATGCTTCAGAAGGCGGTTTAAGAAAACACCAGGAGGTGTAAGTGAAGGACAGACGTCTGCAGCTTTGTTTCATGTCTTGTTTCCTTTGGCAAGGCCCAACG